GAGCGTTTGTTCTGCCTAAGAGCACAAGGGGCTAATGTTAGCCACTCTGGAAGTTATGTCTCCACCTGCTAGACTTCTGCAGAGTTCAACTGTCCAAAATATCTCTCTTTGGGGGTCCAATTTTTGTATCACATTTGAGAGCCATCATTCCCAGAGAACCACTGAAACCAGCAAAACACAGCAGAGTAGCCATCTGGCGTTAGAATATTTCATCATTTTGCGAGCTCTGAAAAGTAGATCTGGAGAGAAACAAACAAACAAAATGCTTTTTCTTCAATCACTGATCTATAATCAGAAACAGGATCAAGCATCAGCACAGTTATTTCACCATGTGAAAAAATAATAGAAATTTTCTTCTGGCAGCTGACAAAATACTCTGTGTCTTAGGGAACTTTGCTAGAAGGGAACATGGATGCTAGAGAAGACAGACATGCTAGCTAAAGCTGTTCCTAGGGTTCATATGCTGAGGAACTACATGGGCCTCTCTATAGTAGACCTAAAATCCAAGCATATCAATCATTACATTAAATATAAGTGATCTAAAGTAAAAGATAGAGATTGTCAAATGAATAAAACGAATAAAAATATCACCCAACTGTACGCATATATCTCCCTATTTGCATACAGAAATATGTATGATTATATGTGTCATGTCATGAAAATCCCAATAGTCTACCTCAAATCCTATAGAACTAGAGGATGGCGGTATTTATAAGGTGATGGACACATATGTAAGAACAGAATAGAACAGTCAAAACATAGAATAGAACAGAATAGCCAAAAATAGACCAACTGGTAGCCAACTCACTTTTGGCATTGGTGTAGAGGCAATTCGATATATAAAGAACAATCTTTTCAATAAATGGTGTTGGAACCATTGAGCTTCTATATGCAATAGAAATTAATCTAAAACTAAATTTCATCATATGTGCATTATACAAGAATTAACTCAAAATTGAATCATAGATAAAAATATAAAACTATAATAGTTTTAGAGCAAAATATTCATGGCATGAAGTTAGAATTTTTAGACATGACACCAAAAGCATGATCCTTTTTAAAAAGATTATATATCTCTCATTTTATGTTAGAGAGTCATAAAAATGATGTCTCAGGATACAAAATCAATGTGCAAAAATTAGTAACATTTCTATACATCAACAACAGTCAAACCAAGAGTCAAATCAGGAATGTACTCCCATTCACAATTGCCACAAAAAGAATAAAATACCTAGGAACACAGATAACTAGGGAAGTAAAAGATCTTTACAAAGAGAACTACAAGACACTGCTCAAAGAAATCAGAGATGACACAAACAAATGGAAAAACATTCCATACTCATGGATAGGAAGAATCAATATTGTTAAAATAAATATTGTTAAAAAGCAATTTATAGATTCAATGCTATTCCTATTAAACTACCACTGACATTCTTCACAGAACTGAAAAAAAAAAACTATTTTAATATTCATATAGAACCAAAGGAAGAGCCTAAATAGCCACGGCAATCCTAAGCAAAAAGAACGAAGCTAGAGGTATCATGCTACCTGACTTCAAACTATACTACAGGGCTACTGTAACCAAAACAGCATAGTACGAAAACATACATGCATACCTATGGAACAGAATAGAGAAGCCAGAAATAAGGCCACATGCCTATAACTATCTGACTTTTGAAAAACCTGACAAAAACAAGCAATGGGGAAAGGATTTTCTGTTCAATAAATGATGCTGGGATAACTGGCTAGCCATATGCAGAAGATTGAAACTGGACCCCTTTCTTACATTATATACAAAAATTAACTCAAGATGAATTAAATACTTAAATGTAAAACTCAAAACTATAAAAACCCGGAAGACAACCTAGGCAACACCATTTAGGACATAGGCATGGGCAAAGATTTCATGACAAAGACACCAAAAGCAATTGCAACAAAAGCAGAAATTGACAAATGGGATCTAATTAAACTAAAGAGCTTCAGCACACCAAAAGAAACTATCAACAGAGTGAGCAGACAACCTACAGAATGGAGAAAGTTTTTGCAAGCCATGCATCTAACGAAGGTCTAATATCCAGCATCTATAAGGAACTTAAACAAATTTACAAGCAAAAAACAAACAACCCCGTTAAAAAGTGGGCAAAAGACATGAACAGACACTTTTCAAAAGAACACATACATGCAGCCAACAAGCATTTGGAAAAAGGTCAACATCACTTATCATTAGAGAAATGCAAATTAAAACCCCAATGAGATACCATCTCACACCAATCAGAAAGGCTATTATCAAAAATTTTGAAAATAACAGATGCTGGCAAGGTTATGGAGAAAAAAAAGAACGCTTATATACTGTTAGTGGAAATATAAATTAGTTCAACCATTGTGGAAAACAGTGTGGTGATTCCTCAAAGTCCCAAAGACGAAAGTACCATCTGACCTAGCAATCCCATTACTGGGTATGTACCCAAAGAAATACAGATTGTTCTATTACAAAGACACATGCATGCATATGTTCATTGCAACACTATTCACAATAGCAAAGACATGGAATCAACCTAAATGTCTGTCAATGATAGACTAAATAAGGAAAATGTAGCACACATACACCATGGAACACTAGGCAGCCATAAAAAAGAATAAGATCATATCCTTTGCAGGGGCATGGATGAAGCTGGAGGCCATTATTCTTAGCAAACTAATGCAGAAACAGAAAACCAAATACCACATGTTCTCACTTATAAGTGGGAGCTAAATGATGAGAACACATGGACACATAGAGGGAAACAAACCACACTGGGGCCTATTGGAAGGTGGAGGGTAGGAGGAAAAAGAGGATTAGGCAAAACTAACTAAAGGGTACTAGACTTAATACCTGGGCAATGAAATAATCTTTACAAAAAAACCTCATGACACAAGTTGACCTACAAAACAAACCTGTGCATATACGCCTGGAAGAAAGAAGATAAATTGAGCTTCATGAAAATTTAAAGTTTTGCTCTAACAAAGACACAGTTAAATGAAAAGACAAGCTACAGACTGAAAAATGATATTTTCAAATCACATATATAAAAAATTGTAACCAGAAAAAATAAATAACCTCAAAAACTCAATAGTAAAAAAACAAACACACCAATTAATAAATGGACAAAGACATGAATACTTTACCAAAGATAAACACATAGTAAATAAACATATGAAAAGATCACTAGTTATTAGCGAATAGGCTCCATGTCATTAGTCCTTGGACAAATACTGATTAAAACCATGATAAGATACCACACAGCTAAAATAAAAAATAGTGATAACAACAAATGCTGGTGAGAATGTGGATAAACTGGTTCTCTGATTCACTGCCAGTCAGAATGCAAAATGGTGTAATCACTGTAGATATGTTTTGCAATTTCTTACATAGACATACCTCGGAGACATTGGGCATTTCATTTTAGACCACCGCAATAAAGTGAATATTGCAATAAAGTGAGTCACACCATTTTTTTGGGTTTCCCAGTGCATATAAAAGTTTTGTTTATACTATATCGTAGTCTATTCAGTGTGTAATAGAATCATGTATGAAAAACAACATATATACCTTAATTAAAAATGATTTATTGATAAAAATCCTAACAATCTGTGCCTTCAGTGAGTCATAATCTTTCTGCTGGTGGAGGGTCTTGCCTTGATGTTGATGGCTGCTGACTGATCAGACTGGTGGTTGCTGAAGGTTGGGCTGGCTGTGGCAATTTCTAAAAATAAGATAACAATGAAGTTTGTGAAGTTTTAATATCTCACCAGGAGTTTCCTTGTGGGAAGAATACAGGGGAGGCGGGTAGCTTTTCATCTTGTATTCATCTTATTTGGGAACAAAAAGGTGGAGGCAGTTTTGCATGACCCAGTTCCCAGCTTGACTTTTCCCTTTGGCTAAATGAGTCTGGGGTCCCAAAATTTAACTTCCTTTCACAGGGTGTATCTGACTGTTCCCCTACCCCATTTTGTCTGTGTTATCTTAAGTAAAATGTGGATTCCTGACATTTTTTATGTGCCTTTTGTTTATGTGAAAACTGTGGGCTTCTCAATATCCCACCCTTTCCCCTTTGAATTTCGAGCCCTGAAAATCATCTTCAGAGAAAGGCACCTGTCTCCCAGGTGCGTCCTCAACTATGGCAAATAAATCTCCAAAAATGATTGAGACTTGTCGCGCCATTTTCCTCGCTTGACAGCCCCATGATTACAAAATTTATGAATTAAAAAGTGAAAGATGACTATTCAACAAATGGGGCAGGTAAAACTAGATAGCCATCTGCAAAATAAATAGATAAATAAATACATAGTTCAATTCCCAGGGCATTCCTTCCACCAACACAAATTCCAGATGGGATCAACAAGTACAAGGGACACTTCTGAATGTTCCTCTGGCAGCCAGGACAGCCTCCCCATGACCCTCTGGATCCTACTGAGGCTACAAGGGAACCCTGGCTAAATGGGGAGAAGGAGCGAACTTCCTGTTAGTGAGGGCCTTTGGGGAAGCTGAGCTGTTAAGCAGCCACCATTTGCCTTCTGAGCTGTGAAGCAGGATCCTATTATATTTGCTCCCAGAATGGTATAAATGCATTTTAGGTGTTTATAAGGGACTTGGGGAGGCCAGCAGGGTTTGTGGAAAAGGCATTCTCATCTAATGTTGGCAGAAGTGCAAATTGCGGAAGTATAAACAGAAGTGTTGCTATAAACACTAGTTGTCTTGTGAGTTTGTTCCTTATTTGCTAGTCCACTGGGAACCAGCTGAAGACCTCGCAACAGTGGTGTAAAACTAGCTGCGTTGTGCAGGGAGATACCAGAGTGGATAGCGCAGGAATGGTCAGGATATTACATGAGTCTGGATGGAGTCAGTGAAGACTGGGCTGGAAGGCAGCTGTGGAAATGCAGTGTACGGGGAAAAGGATTTTATTCATTCAATCATCCATGTGTTCATGCTTTCACTCATCCACCATGTTTTTCAGCAATGATTTTGTGTCAGGCCCTGAAGATACTGTTGTGAATAAAACTAAATCCTGCACTATGCCAGTGGTTTTTGACAGGTGTGCTGAAGAACGACCCAATGGGACCTTATGATGGACTGGGCACAAAGAATGAGTCAGAGGAGAGAACCAAAGTTTAACACTTGGGCAAGTGCGTGTGTGTGTGTGTTTGTGTGTGTGTGAACATTGTCAGCGGTTCATTCAACATCAAGAACTGCACTACTTGTCAGAAATACAGAAAATAACAATGATAACAACAACAACAATAATAATTGAACACTTTTTGGAAACCATTATAAGCTCTTTGCCTGGATTATCTCATTTCATTAGCATGAATGGGAACTATTTTATACCCATTTTGCAGGTGAGAAGACTGAGGCACGCTGAATATAAGTAACTTGCTCACAGCCACCCAGTTGGTCAATGGTGGAGGCAGATGTGAGTCCAGCCAGTCTGACTTTGTTGTCCCGAGGGATTCAAAGTGAGGTTCCAGAGGCAGAGCCAAAGAGCAATGGAAAGAGAACAGCTTGCATGTTTTGATAGAAGAGTGGCCAGAAAGCAGTGGCATCCACGTTAGCCTGGGCAGAGGGTGGGGCAGGCAATCAGAAGGCGCTTCTTGGAGCAGATTGCTTCTTCAGCAGAGTCCAGGAATATGAGCAGCTGTTAATAAAAGGAAGAAAAAGGCAACAGCGCTCAGCAGAGGGGAATCCCCTACGAAGACCGAGCTATGCTGGAGACTTTTTAGGAGGGAATTCGGCTGCCCCAGGAAGCTCATGATCTTGGACTCCTAAAAACCTACATCTCTTAAATGTTGACCCCATTTTGAAGGAGAGAAGAGGCCACATGGGTCTAAGGAAGGTGAGGAAGAGCAATCTCTGGTAAGAGCTCGGTTTCTCCTCTGAGGCCCAGCAATTCCAACTCCTCTGGCTGACCCCAGACTGACAAAACAAAACCCATCTTAACCAAAGTCTCAAAGGAAACTGGGGCCACCTCCAATGGTCCAGGGGCCTTCCTTCCTGGGGACAGTACTGATAAATGTGCCTTTCTCATCCTCACCATAATTCAGTGATATTTGCTGGTTCTCCTGGAGACCAGCACCCTCCTGATTAATTGCCCACTCAATCCTCTCTGAGTCCAAGGAGCTGCATTCATTCAACTTGGCCAGGAGAACAGTTTTCATGAAACATGAAAGCTGAGGTAATAATAGCAAGCGAGAATCAGCACGCAAGGAGACACATCCACCTGAGCTATGGGGAACAGTGAAGAAGAAGTTTTAGCAGAGCAGGAACATTCATTGATTGCAACCTGAAAACTTACAAAGCCACTGGAGTTGAAGAGTGCATGGAAAATTTTAGAAACCAGCGAGTTCCTCAGCATGTTCATCTATGTGAGATGACAGTTTGGTGGCCAGATAACATCTTCCAGCAGAGCAACTCCATGCCTGTGGCTGCAGAAACTTCAGGCAAATATATGCAAACTGCAGTCTGAGTATTCTATATCAGGTTGAGATTCTGACAGCTGGAAATGACAGCCCATTCTATTTTCAATTTTAGCATCTTAACCAACTCTTGGTAGGATGTGGAAAGTCAGAAAGATTTTTTTGGAAGATAAACATGCTACAATATTGCATCTGTGGATGGATGTCTCCTAGCAATGAATCCATGGACCCATGGATGCATGTTACCGAGAAGAAGCCACAGCGGATGGGGTGTGGAACTGAGACATGACTGGAGAACTTGTGGGACTTGGTGGCTGACACTGGGGCTCCAAAGAGACAAAACGGGGTACCCCAGAGAGGCAGTGGAAGGGTGTGAGGACAATGAGCCCTTCTTTGGCTGGAGGAGATTCAGTTTACAGTGGGACTTTCAAAGGAATTTGCAGCAAACAGGTAGCAATATAGAATCACACTTCAAAAAGGGAACTTGGAATGAAGTTAACCACATGGGAGTCACATCTATAGCAGCATTAAATGCGGCCAAATTGTTAGTAACTGAGATTGTAGAAAAGGGGTTCCTAAAATAGCATCAAGGCTGGTGCAAGTACAATGGTATTTACAACTTATTGATCACAGCCATTTACAGATTCCTTTGTTCTTTCTCCACCCCCACTGCTTCACTTGACTAGCCTCTAAAAAGAATCATATATATATATATGTATATATACATATATATACACACACACACACATATATATATATAAAATCCCATGCCAAGGGATTGGATTCAGGGGCCTGTAACCTCCCTGAAGTCATATGCAACATTTTATGTAAATGTTACTGAATGTTAAATGGAATTTTTTTTTAGGACAAGTTTCAAAATCAGGTGCCAGAGAAGAACATAAAATTTTTCATAGTGGATAGAGAAGCCACCTGAATTGCTCACCCATGTTGAGAAAATGAAATGTCCAGGAGTCGGGAACAGAGGAAGTACTGAGGGAGGTGATCTACCTGACCCTCGCCCGAGCTAGTGGTGACTGACTTCCTGCTTTTCTGGCCAGGCAGCCAAGAAGCAGCTAGGTTGAGATGGTCCAGAGCAGAGAAGGACCTGAGGTGGTTGGGATGTCAACAGGGCTCCACATACCTCAGCCGAAAGAACCAGAGCAGTCTTGGCCGAGGCAAGAGCAACCGGCAGCCAGAACGGAGAGCCTCTGTGCTGCCGTGACAGGTAGAGTAACACCCCACCCGAGATGTCCACATCCTAACGCCACAACCTGTGAACTTGTTACCTTGTGGGCAAAAGTGACTTTGCAGATGTGATTAAGTTAAGGATCTTAAGATGTGAGATTATCTGAAGAGGCCCCATGTAATTAATCACAAGGGTCCTTAGAAGAGGGAGATAGAGAGCCAGAGAAGGAGACATGCTGGGATAAGTAGAGGTCAGAGAGAACTGAAGAGACTCTGTGCTGGCTTTGATGATGGAGGAAGGGGCCATAAGCCGAGCAGAAAAAACAGATTCTCCCCTAGGGCCTCCAGAGGGAGTGTGACCCAGCCAATACCTTGATTGAATGGCTGGTAACCTCCAGAATTGCAAGATAATCAAAGGGTGCTGCTTTAAACCACTGTTGTTAGTAACTAGTTACAGCAGCCACAGGAAATGAGCACAGCTGCCAGGGTAGCTGCAGGGGAGGGGCTACTAGCAATAGAGGCTGGGTAGAGGCAGGAAGGGACCCCAAAACAGCCAGTTTTAAAATTCTGCCAAGGCTGGCGAGCACAGCAGCTGCAGTCAAGTAGGAATTTTCCAGTCCCCTACATCTTCCTCCTCTGCTTGTTCTGACACAGAGGGTCCCTGAAAACCATGACGAGATGGAAGAGGTAGAGGAGATGTGGTGCATAGGGAAAAAGAGAAAGAAGCAAGCACTCCTCCCCAAATGCAAGTCTCTAGGAGGCAGAAGCGCAACTTTAAATCATGTTCGAAGTTTTGACCATCTCCAAAAACTAGCATTTCAATAACTGAATTGAGACTGTGTATATTGTCTGCGAGTCACTTGAAAAGTCACAGGGGACAAAAAGCATAGCCGACTCCATGCAAAGGAACACTAGGAAGTGAGGACAAAGCCACAAATGATGACATTTCCAAGTGAAGCCTGTTCCCCATAAGGGGCACATTCTCTGTTTTCGGGGGAGTGGGCTACAGCTTCCATCAGCTTCTCAAAGGGGATTTTTACATCTGCTGAGGTTAAGAATTATGAATATGGAGGAAGAGGTCAAGGTCTGGGCTTGGAGAAGAGCTTGTATTCCGGCCTGCAGGGGAGTGGGGAGGGAATAACAAGAAGAAAAAGCAGAGGGGAAAAAAGACAAGATCAAGAGGGCTGGAGGACACGGTGTTCTTCACACTGCTTACCTCCCCATGCAGGGCCAGGAGGGCAAGTGGGCGACAGGAAGAGAACCCACGGGCTACTGGTGAGATCAACCAAGAGGAAATGCTGCCAGTGCAACCCTGCAGCCGATCGACCACCTGCGCCTCCTGGCCCGGCTTCTTTGGTGCCGCCCTCTTGCCTTGCTACCTGGGGCCTGAGGGAGCTGGCAAGGCATGTTTGCGCTGATAGAAGTGAAGGCCCACGGGCTGCCCACTGAAGTTGGAGATGAACGGTGCCAGTTCTGCACAGCTGCAAAGCGCACACGGGAGGGGATCCAGTCAGACTCTCACAGACATTGATAGGAGGGTTTCTTTGTGAGCCCCACAATCCTGCCCCACCACATGCTGGATGCTTACATATACTATCCCTAGTCTTAGAACATCTCTGCAGGAGACGTGTAGTAAGTATGTCTATGCCATGAACAACCTAAATCAGACAATAAAAAACAAAATTTCATAAATACTGTCCAGACAATTGCACAATAATCCCACTACATACTAAGCACTTACTATGAGTCAGATTCTGTTTCAATTAGTAGCAGTATGTGGCCAGCCATGAGAATTAGAGACCAAAATTATGGTGGTCAAAACACACAAGAGTTGAAAATATACTCTTATTTATATAAGCAAGAAAATAAACTTTACTATAAAAGAGTTGGGATGGCAATATAGGACTGGCACTGTAATTCCAAAGTGACAAGGGCACAAAGCACTACAATCCTTTCATCTTTTTCTGTTCCATCCTCAGAGCTCCAATAGAGCTGCTGGAGTTCCAGCCGTCATGTCCTCATTCCCAATGGCAGATAAGGCAAAAATGACTCTTTGCAACTGAGTCAGCAATTTACAGAGTAAATTCCTCTATGTCTCAAACAACAATTTCACTTAGATCTTGGTCATGAGACCACCCCCACTGCAAGGAAGGCTGGGAAATGCCTTCCCAGCCTTCCCAGCCATCTTTATTGCAGGCAGTCCCATACTCAAAACAAAAATGCACTTCTGTGACTGAGAAAAATAAAATGAGCAGTCTCTGCCATAGGCTCTTAATTATAATACAAGAGTAACCCAATGAAAAGAGCATTGATATCCCACTTACAGTCGCTCAGGGAGCTCAGGGCAGAGGCCAAGCAGACCTCACACTAGGCCCAACTGATGCCCAGCTTCTCACCTTTTTCCACTTTGCCTTTGTGCCACCAGACAAATTGAGGCCGTCCTGGAAGCACAGACAGGAGGTTGAGACAGAGCCTTTCCACAATGTTCATGCTGCAGTCATGCCAAATCCTCCATCAAGAGGGTGTGGAGGACGTGTGCCCCACTGCACTCCAAGGAGTGAACCCTAAGGTCCATGAGTTTGGGGTGTGTGTGTGCAGGTGTGTGTGTCTGTATGTGTACTGTGTCTGTGTGTTTCAGTGTGAGTGTGGGTATGTATATGTGGGGGTGTGTGTCTGTGTGTGTTGTGTGTGTGTTTCAGTGTGAGTGTGGGTGTGTATGTGTAAGTATGTGTCTGTGTGTATGTTGTGTGTCTGTGTGTTTCAGTTTGAGTGTGGGCATGTACGTGCAGGTGTGTGTTGTGTGTCTGTGTGTTTCAGTGTGAGTGTCATTGTGTATGTGTAGGTGTGTGTGTTGTGTGTCTATGTGTTTCAGTATGAGTGTGATTGTATACATGTTGTATACATGTAGGTGCATGTGTTTCTGTGTGTTACGTGTCTGTGTGTTTCAGTGTGTATGTGAGCATGTGTGGGGGGTGTGTGTGGTGTGTGTCTGTGTGTTTCAGTGTGTATATGTGCATATGTGGGGGTGTGTGTGTTGTGTCTGTATTTCAGTGTGAGTGTGGGTGTGTATATGTAGGTGTGTGTTTCTCTGTGTGCTGTGTGTCTGTGTGTTTCAATGTCAGTGTGGGCATGTATGTGTAGGTGTATGAGTGTTGTGTGTCAATGTGTTTCAGCATGTGTGGTTGTGTACGTGTAGGTGCATGTGTCTCTGTGTGTTGTGTGTGTGTTTCAGTGTGTATGTGTGCGTGTGTGGGGGTGTGTGGTGTGTGTTTCAGTGTGAGTGTGGGTGTGAATGTGTAGGTGTGTGTGTCTGTATATTTCCATGTGACTGTGGATAGGTATGTGACTGTGTGTGTTGTGTGTCTGTCTTTCAGTGTGTGAGTGTGACTGTGTGTGTAGGTGTGTGTGTGTTGTGTGTGTGTGTGTTCGGGTGTGAGTGTGACAGTGTGTGTTTAGGTGTGTGTGTTGTGTGTCTATCTTTCAGTGTGTGAGTGTGACTATGTGTGTAGGTGTGTGTGTGTTGTGTGTCTGTGTGTTCGGGTGTGAGTGACTGTGTGTGTAGGGG